TATTGTTCGCTGCGGATGATGGGACATGTCAAGGGGTTGGGTTTGACGCGACGTCAGCCCGCCCTGCTCCAGTTGTCGAAGGGGACAAGCGGGCAAATGTTGCGCCAAACCCAGCCCATCTGACAAGCCTCCACATCAGGGCACATCGTTGTTGGGGAATCCCCAATAGGGGGTCGTATTTGGGCTGGGAAAAATTTATTTTGATAGTTGATTTTTCTCGCTTCACAGGACGTTATAAAGGGGGGGGGTGGGTCGTATATGGGGAGGGGGGCGTATTTACCTTTTGGCCTTCTAGGAGTGGTGGTTGACTTTTAGTGATTTTCCTGTTTCACTTTTGCTATTTACCCACCCCGCCCCTTCCCCCTGATCGACGGCTCGATTCGATGAGGAGGAACAGAGGGCCGGAGGGGGGGGCGTACCAACCCCAAAAAAAGGGGAGGGGGTCGAACAGACCCGACATATCTCCAACCAATTATGTGCCCTGCTCCACATCCGCAGCGAGTAGGACTGTAGATCAACGCTGGTCGCTTTTTCCATTATTCCAAATTTTGTGTGATTATCCTTCATTATACTTCAAGATATCTTATTTTTAGGTGTATGCTACTGCTACCTATCCAACCTATCCAAATTCCGGAGGTGGGATGACTGTTGAATCACGAACGGTGGTTCGGGAAGGGGGTGAACAAAATGTAAGTTATAACTTGCCACTTTTGGATCTTGTCCAGTTAAATCGAGTTAAATTAAATGAAAAAATGTTGCTTAGGGAGAGAATGAAAGATTATTCAAAAAAAACTCAATATTTTCAGTTAGAAATGACTGAGCATCCGGTATTCACATGGGTGGAGAACATTTGTGTGGTGTATTTCTCTTTGGAGTATTTGCTACGATTCCTGGTTGCACCACGAAAACTCGCCTTTGCACGACAATTTCTCAACGTCATCGATATGCTATCCATAGCACCGTTCTATTTTGAAATGCTTCTCTGGCTAGTGAGTTTAATTTTTCGCCAAAAAGATGTCACAACTGAGCGGGCCGACCGACGCAAGCCTCGTCCAGGCACCCTGGGCAGGAGAGACTTTGATTTAGGCGTGTTCTTACAGGCTTGTTCGCTGCAGAGTCGGGGCGTGTCAGGGGGGGGGGGCAGCTGGCGCGACACGACATTGGGGCACCCCAGTA